CATTTTCACAATAATGTTCTAATGCCACATAAATTGTTCTAATGTCGTGTGTGTGTGTATCACTAGGATATCCACAATTATTTTTGTAATTTTTTTTGTTGGAGTTGATTTCCACAATATTTTTAAACAGCAAGATAAAAGGCAATTACATTTGTAACACCACAGATACAAGTGCAAACCACATTCAATGGTCTAATACAGGAAAACGGTTAAAAATAGGAGAGCTTGTTGATGCATGAGAATTTCTGAATCAAAAAGATTTAGACAAAAATCTAAAAAGTGAAGTGAGTCTACTGTAAAAAATAAGTTCAAAATGTTAAATTAATGATCTATTTAATTCGCTGATTCGAATTTTTAATTCGAGTTGAGATACGATTTTATGTGAAAACTTTTTACTATAGTAAAAAAATTAAATGTAATTGTTTTTAAAAAAAAAATTACTATAATAAAACTTGAATATGTGAAATAAACGGACCAAAAAAAATTAAAAAGTTTTAACTCAAATAAATATCTCATTCAATTATATATAATTAATACCCTTACTAAATGCCAATTGAAAATTCTCTCGGACTCAAGAATTAAGTTGAAATGAATTGTCCAACCAAACAATAGACATAGACATGATCATCATTACGAACATACCCTCTTATCATGTTTGTCCTTGTCTGTTCTCTTAATCCAGAATCTTTTGCATTTCTGGGTTTCTTTTTTCACTTCGTATTTTTCTTTTCCTTTTGCACTTTTCGGGTTGACAGAGAGAGTACGAAATGTGCATATGAAGTAGCTTGCTTGACATGAGTCGGTTTTCTCTATAGTATTACTAGTTTGGCACTTTTTTTTGTCCATATTGACACAACTACTCTATAAGGACATTTGTGATTGTTTATTCTCTGCTATTCATCATTCGTCTTCTGGTATTCTATTGCTTGTACATGGTAAAATATTGTATAACGAATTTTATCAAGAAACATTTCTAAATCCATTTTGCATTATAAGTAACATTTCTAAATTCAAGTTGCTTTATATTTTCCATAAGTCATTCACATAGATTAACTTGTTAAGTTCCGTTTTTCCAAATTACCAAGCAGAAATAATCACCTTAAGGTAATGGCCAATTTCTATATAGCCTTAGAAACATATATTACCTTATCATTCTAAAGCTAGGATGAATAATACTGGATTGCTTACTATAGATTGAATGTTATAGTTAACGTTCCACCAAATAATAATGTCTCTGTCTTATGCACTGTATATATTTATTAAAGTTAGAAAAGACGAATAACGTCTCTGTCCGTGAGTAGTGTATATATTTATTAAAGTGAGAAAAGACGAATAATGTCTCTGTCTTCAATATATCTTTCTTGAAGGTTTTAATGTCATTTATGGTTGATGGGAAAGAGAAGAGAGAGAGGGTATGCCCGTAATGAGGAGTCTGAGCGTGTATGGAGGAGAGAATACTTTGAGTTGAAACAGAGGAGAGAGGAAAGAAGTCGGGAGTTATTTTAGGTATTTGAGTTTTTAATTTTAAATTTTTATAATAAAATTTTTTTAAAAAATATCATATTTAATTTTTTTTATTATAATAGAAAATTTTTAAAAAATATCACATTTCAGTTTGAATTAAAAATTTAAATTTATAAAATAAACGATATCTATAAGAAGAAGCGAACTAATAGAAGAAATCAAAAATGTAAAAAGAGACTCTTAATCTATTTAATTTATTGATTTAAATTTTTAATTTTAATAAAAATGTGATTTTATATTAAAAAATTTTATTATAATAAAAAAATTAAATGTGATTATTTTTAAAAAATTTTTTATTATAATAAAATTTTAATTTTAAATTTAAATCGATAAAAATGAAATGAAAAGCAAATGCATGAATACTCAAATGATTTGACATAAAAGGTAACGCTATAACACAGTCAAAAATGTGCATGGAAAATAGTAAGAATACTATACAGTGAATAGAAAAAGAGAATAACACAATACATATGGTATATTTTTTTCGCAACTTAAGTTAGAAAATTTAAGTTAAAAAGGTAAATTTTATGTTAGAGAAAATATTATAATTATATAATTAAATTTAAATTTTTATCTCATATGATATCTCAAGTATGATATCTCAAGCCGTCTCATATTTATCTCATTTATTCATTTTGATGCTTCATTTGCACTCCAACCAAGCACCATTTCTCCGCTGCAAAATCTATTTTTCTTTTTTACTTTTGTTAATTGAAATAGAAGCCCATTTGTATATTTTTTTGTTTCCTAATTTTAACCCAAGTTTAAAAACATGATAAAAATTTCTTCCTTTTTGCTACTAAAAAAAAATGAAAACCTACCTTTAGGTATCACAGTTTGTAAATTTTTAAATAATTTTTGTTTAATTTAAATATTTGTGAAAATCAACTAAATTAATATTTGGTTAATAGATTAATGTTAAGAATTATTATAGTAAGTAAAAAAAAAAAGGAATATAAAAATTATACAAAAAGAATTATACCATGAATATTCTTTTTAGAGTAAAGTTCGAAATAAATGAGTTGAGGATGTATTTTTTGAGTTGCGTGAAATTACTTTTTTTTTTTTTTTTTTTAAATAGAACAACTTTAAAATGGAATATTGGGTTGGAGATGGCATGAACGCAATCACATTCCGCTTTGTGTTTTTGTGTCCTTTTCCTTTCAATATGAGAAATTAAGCAAAAGCAAAATCATATACAGTGAACGGATTGACATAAGACGCAGACTATAAAACAAGTCAAAACATGTGGATGGAAAATAGTAGGCCCTTTACGTGAATGGAATAAAGAGAATGGACTTTTTTTTTGATACGTCGGGGTATTAATTTATTTGTTTAGTTGGGAGATTCATACCTTAATTTGAATCTTATTTTCATAGTTCATTACAGTATTTTTTTTTTACAAAAAATACACGTAAATCAAAAATAATTTTAATTTCATGATATTAATCCATGAACCAAACGTAATGTAAGTTTTTTGTTCGTTAAATTTACATAAAATCACGTAAAAATTAAAAAAAAATGCAAATTCAGCAATTAAAAAAGCATGGTCTACAAAAAATCTCTCTAAAGAGAATATTAGGATAACATAGTACAACGAATTACTATTAAATTATTGTATTTTTTATGACTTGTTTGGTTCACAAGTTTAAATAGAAAATTTAAACATAATCTAGGTCTTATTCATTTCACAATCTACATCACAATACAAGATTTTATGACGGTACTTTTTGTCATAAAAATTTAAGTTTAATTTTTGATACTACAGTGTTTTTTCTTACATAAATTCACTTTTTAAATTATCAATTCGAACCCTCAAAACAAACCAGGTCTCAAACTTTCATGAAATAAAACAATGTAATAAAAAAATATATTTGAATTGTGGTTAAAATTACAAACCAAACGATACCTTAATTTGAATGATTTTGATGCTTACTTTTCTCAATCATGTTGAATATTTTGATGCTTACTTTTCTCAATCATGTTGGATATTTTGTGAGACGTTTAGTTTATAAATTCAGAATTATGATTCAAAATTATTTTTATTTTACGTGTATTTTTTATAAAAATAAATACTATAATAAATTATAAATCATAATATGAATCTCTCTTTCAAATGCACGCCAATATATTAAAACTTTTAACACAAAATTCTCCGGAGAATAAAGGCATGGTTCTTACTTGGGGACTAAAGATACATTTGGCTGCCACCAATTTTTGGATTGATGTGACCAATAGTCCAACTTGGGCTACATACTGCTAATCAAAAGTCTTGGTTGTGGGACCAGATTCCACGGAATGTCGTTTATAGGAGAGATAGGGAAAAAAAAGAAAAAAGTAAGAAAATTGTCAATTTTCTTGCAGAGCAAACAACCCTAATAAGATTCTTATCATAATTTTAATTATAATTCATGATTTATTATAATATTTTTTTTATAAAAAATATATATAAATTAAAAATAATTATGAATGTGTAAATCAAAACTAAACATCTCACAAAATTAATTGATAAAATTTTAGAGAGCGTCTTTAAACTGTTCTGTGACACATAGGAAAACACTTTACAGATTACCACGTGTCAATTAACAGAATTTTAAAAACTCAAAAAAGTAGCAGAAAATTGAAGCAAAAACAAAAAAAAAAAAAAACACAAAACACAAAAGAAAACAAAAAAGCTATGTTAGTCTTGTAAGCTACGAAGACCGTAAAACTTTCTTTTTGAACTATTTAATTCTAGTAAATTACTCACTAAATTATTGTGTTTAATAGTTTTGGTAATGAACATAAGAATTTTTTGAAATGTAACGTAAATAAATACAACCCCATAGCATAATAACTAAAATCATTGTCATATTTTAATGTAAGGATCAAAATTATCCAAAAAAAAAATTTAGAAATATTTTTTTCTTAAAAATTATTATTATTTTTTTGAAATTTGGGTACAATTTCACTTTTATTAGTTATCAACAACACTTTGGCATCGTTCACTTCACCGATTTGAGTTTTCAATTCGAGTTGAGATGTGACGTTTTCTAAGAACTTTTTATTGTAACAGTAAAAATTAAATGTGACATTTTTTAAAAACTTTTAACTGTAAAAACTTAAAACTAAAAATTTAAATCGGTAAAATAAACGAGGCATTTGAAAAAATTTTATGTTTAACTATTACTTATTTTCAACTCTATTATTTATATTACTATATAAAATTTTAATATAACTATAGAAAAAATTCACTAGTTATAAAAAAATAACTTACAGATTATTTATAGTATAAGATATATTTATAACAGTGACATAAATAAAATAATATTACTTAATATTTTTTATTTTTTGTCTTTTATAAATGAATTTGATAAAAAATTTCAAAAAAAAAAGATCAAAAGGAAAAAAAAAAAAAAAAAGAAAGAAGAAAAATCAGATTCCATATAAATATTCGCCAAAAAGTAGAGTCCACTTGATCCTTTCTCCATAGCACAGTGTCTCTCTCACTCGGCTTCCCCTGTTTCCTGGAAAAATCGCCTTTGCAATCTGCTTTAGGATTCTCCGTCTCATGAATCTTGCGCATCACGTTATCTGCCTCCAAAGGAATTCCACCTTTGACTCTTTCCGTTGACTAAAACTCTCCAACATTAATACATACTTTTTACATATATATACATACACACACACACATAAAAATCTTCATTGTTCACTTGCATGTTGACAGAACAAAAAAAAAAAAAAACCACTTCACTCTAAGAAGTTGCTCAACAGAAGCTCCACAGAAAATGGAATTCTTAGCTTCACCGAAACAGGTTATGTCAACCTTCTTGTCATCAAACTTTTTTTCATACCCAAGTACTAATTTCCTTCTAAAACCAGTTTTCCTTCGTGGGGTTTCTGGTTCTTTGCATTTTATGTTGTTATTTGTGTTGTTTATCTCGTGGGTGTGTCATAAATTGAAGGGAAGTAATACGGAGGGTCCAAAAGAGAGGTCAAAAAACACGAAAAGTCTGTATCATAAACAGACTTTGTTTCTTTGCTTTGGTCTTTCTCTGTTTAACCTGGTTTTGTGTTTGTTGAGTTGCTTTTTTTGGTATAGAAATGATTGGTCTGAAGAAAATGTAGTGACCGTTTTGGATTTAGCCATTAGAACACTTGCTTGGGGTGTAATTTCTGTCCATTTGCACGCCCAATTTTCCAATTTTGGTCAATCAAAATACCCGTATTTGTTGAGACTTTGGTGGGGTTTCTACTTCTTTGTTTCTTGTTATTGCCTCGTTATTGACATTGTTCTGCACAAGAAACATGTTTCCTTACCAGTTCAGTCCTTGGTTTTGGATGTCGTATCCGTTATTTCGGGTTTGTTTTTCGTATTTGTCGGGTTTTTCGGGAAGGTGGAAGATCAAGAAACTCTTCTTGAAGAACCCCTTTTGAATGGTAATAGTGGTGTAGGTAGTGATGTAGTGTCAAACAAGCCCAAGGGGGAAGAAACTTTAACCCCCTATTCGAATGCTGGAATTTTCAGCATTCTTAGTTTCTCTTGGATTGGTCCTCTAATTGCCCTTGGCAATAAGAAGACTTTAGACCTTGAGGATGTTCCCCAACTTGATGTTGGAGATAGTGTGGTTGGAATCTTTTCGACTTTAAAGAGTAAAATCGATTCTGATTGCGGAGACGTTAGCAGAGTTACCACGCTTAAGTTGGTGAAAGCACTTTTCTTGTCTGTTTGGAAAGACTTTCTCTTGGCAGGCTTGCTTACACTTCTATACACCATAGCATGCTATGTTGGTCCTTATCTTATTGACACTTTAGTTCAATACCTTAACGGGCGTCGTGAGTTCAAAAACGAGGGCTATATGCTGGTTTCTACATTTTGCTTGGCGAAGATTGTGGAGTGCCTCTCGCTGAGGCAATTGTTTTTCAAGACACAACAGATTGGAATTAGGGTCCGCTCAGCGCTTGTCGCGCTAATTTACAACAAGGGCTTGACGCTTTCGTGCCAGTCCAAGCAGGGGCATACCAGTGGGGAGATTATCAATTTCATGACTGTTGATGCTGAAAGAGTTGGAGAATGCATTTGGTATATGCACGATCCATGGTTGGTAATTGTTCAAGTCGCTTTAGCACTGTTGATTCTGTACAAGAATCTTGGTCTCGCTGCAATCTCGACATTTGTGGTGACTGTGTTAGTTATGTTGGTGAATATTCCTCTGGGGAAGTTGCAAGAGAAGTTTCAAGACAAGTTGATGGCGTCAAAAGATGTTAGGATGAAGGCGATGTCTGAGATATTAAGGAACATGAGGATTCTCAAGTTACAAGGTTGGGAGATGAAGTTCCTGTCCAAGATCACTGAGCTCAGGAAAATCGAGGAAGGGTCATTGAGAACATATCTTTACACTTGGGCTATGACCGTATTTGTCTTCTGGGGTGCTCCTACATTTGTGTCTGTTGTCACTTTTGGTACTTGTATGCTTCTCGGGATTCCACTTGACTCTGGGAAGATCTTATCTTCGCTTGCAACATTCAGGATTCTTCAGCAGCCTATCTACAGTCTGCCAGACACAATTGGGATGGTAGTACAGACGAAGGTTTCCTTAGACCGAATATCATCTTTCCTTCGTCTTGATGACTTGCAGCCCGATATTATCGAGAAGCTTCCAAGAGGTAGTTCAGATATAGCTATTGAGATAGTTAATGGTAATTTCTCTTGGGATGTATCTTCCCAAAATCCAACACTGAATGATATTAGTTTCAAAGTGTCCCACGGTATGAGAGTTGCTGTTTGTGGTACCGTTGGCTCAGGCAAGTCAAGCTTGCTTTCAAGTATCCTAGGAGAGATTCCAAAGATTTCCGGGACCATTAAGTTGTGTGGAACGAAGGCCTATGTTGCGCAGTCACCATGGATTCAGAGTGGCAAGATAGAGGAGAACATATTGTTTGGTGAGGAGATGGACAGAGAAAGGTATGAGAGGGTTCTAGAAGCTTGTTCACTGAAGAAGGACCTGGAGATCCTCCCATTTGGTGATCAGACAGTCATCGGGGAAAGAGGAATCAATTTGAGTGGTGGACAAAAGCAGAGAATACAAATTGCACGCGCCTTGTACCAAGATGCTGATATCTATCTGTTTGATGATCCTTTTAGTGCTGTGGATGCTCACACAGGATCTCACCTCTTTAAGGTAAACCAAATTTCTTGTCCTTAAACATTCAAGCATTTGAAGGTATTAGTGCAGGTATTATTTGAGATAACTCAATGTACTTACCAATAGTGTATTTTCTTTTAATAACAGGAATGCTTATTGGGCCTATTGAGTTCAAAAACCGTGATTTATGTCACTCATCAAGTTGAATTCTTACCCACTGCTGATTTGATACTGGTAAGAAAGTCATAGGTCTTTCTGTCTTGTCTTCATATAAACTCCATTTTTCTATGTTTTTGTTTTTATTATATATATATATATATTTTTGATTATTTAAGATAATATCATCATCAACTATTAGGTCATGAAAGATGGAAGGATTACCCAAGCTGGAAAGTACGATGAAATTTTGAATTTTGGGACTGATTTTATGGAACTTGTTGGCGCCCACAAGGAAGCATTGTCCACACTTAATTCTGTAGATTCTGGCTCAGCTGAAAAGACGTGTATTGATGAGAACAATGAAAAGTCGGCGAGTACAAGTGGGGTTTTGAAGAAAGAAGAAAGTAAAACCGAGGGTGCAGCAGGACAAAAAGGACAGCTTGTTCAAGAAGAAGAAAGAGAGAAGGGTAGAGTCGGCTTTAGGGTGTATTGGAAATACATCACAACAGCATATGGAGGAGCTCTTGTACCTCTTATAGTGCTTGCGCAGATTTTATTTCAGGTTTTCCAAATTGGGAGCAACTATTGGATGGCCTGGGCAAGTCCTGTTTCGGAGGGTGAAGCGCCTGCTGTCAGTGGCACTACACTTATACTTGTATATGTTGCTTTGGCCATTGGGAGTTCATTTTGTGTCCTCTTGAGGGCTATGCTTCTCGTAACAGCTGGATATAACACAGCTACTTTACTCTTCAATAAAATGCATCAATGCATTTTCCGCGCTCCAATGTCGTTCTTTGATGCCACCCCAAGTGGAAGAATCCTAAATAGGGTAAATGAAAAAATTTCCGTAGCATAGTTCTTAATTGGATGTATATGTTTCATTAATCAGGATAACTATATTCTATGCAATAATTTCATTTTATATACCTTTCTTCATTTTCTTGCAGGCTTCTACTGACCAAAGTTCGGTGGATCAGACCATTTTCAGTCAAGTTGCTGCCGTTGCATTCTCGTTGATCCAACTTATCGGAATTATTGCAGTGATGTCCCAAGTTGCTTGGCAAGTCTTTATTGTATTCATTCCTGTCATTGCAACCTCTATATGGTATCAGGTATTGCTTTTGACCTTGTTTAAGTGCTACATTGAAACTATCTATTGAAGGTTCTTTGGACTTAATTCTGAAGAGTTTTTGGACGGAAAGTGGGAAGAATGGTTTATTAGTTATGCTAAAGCGAATGTACTATGAGCTTGTGAATGTGACTGGAAGGTCCTTACCGTTTATAATTGTGCAGCAATACTACATACCTTCAGCACGAGAACTATCACGGTTAGTTGGCGTCTGCAAAGCTCCAGTCATACAACATTTTGCAGAGACAATTTCAGGAGCAACAACCATAAGGAGCTTTGATCACGCGTCGAGATTCCAGGACACAAACTTGAAATTGGCAGATGGATATTCCCGGCCTAAGTTCAGCATTGCAGGTGCAATGGAATGGCTATGCTTTCGCTTGGATGTGTTGTCTGTTATTACATTCATCATTTCTTTGGTTTTCTTGATCACTCTTCCGGAGGGAGTGATTGATCCAGGCAAGTTGTTCCCATTCAAAAAATTTATAGTTTTATTCTTGCAAAAAAAAAAAAAAAAAAAAAAGGCAAAGGATACTAAATCAATTTTTCTATTTTTTTCCCCTTTTAACTATAGGCATTGCGGGATTAGCCGTCACATATGGACTTAATCTGAATATGCTACAAGCTTGGTTTGTTTGGAATCTTTGCAATATGGAGAACAAAATAATATCAGTGGAAAGAATTCTCCAATACACCACTATCCCAAGCGAACCTCCTCTTGTAATAGAATCAAATCGGCCCGATCATTCTTGGCCATCACATGGAGAAGTCGCCATTCGTGATCTTCAGGTAGTTGCTAGTTTCTAATTGATATTCCACTTGCCTGACACCAAAAGATATTTTTATATCTTATACAGAGCTCTTCTTGTGTATGATGGATAAATAATATATTTTTAGGTTCGATATGCCCCACACTTGCCACTTGTGTTGCGAGGTCTCACGTGCACTTTTCCGGGAGGAATGAAGACCGGCATTGTAGGGAGAACAGGCAGTGGTAAATCAACTCTCATTCAAACACTTTTCCGGATTGTCGACCCTGCCACCGGTCAGATTGTGATAGATGGCATCGACATATCTTCAATTGGGCTGCACGATTTGAGATCAAGGTTGAGCATTATCCCTCAGGATCCGACCATGTTTGAAGGGACTGTGAGAAGCAACTTGGATCCGCTCGAAGAATACACAGACGAACAAATATGGGAGGTGGGTTTTTTTTTTTTTTTTTTCTTTTCTTTTTTCCCTTCCAACTAATCTTCTATGTTATTTATTTATTTATGGTAAGAAGTAATCTTCTATGGTTGATTCTTAATATCTCTCTTACATGGTTTAGGCTTTGGATAAGTGCCAACTTGGAGATGAAGTTAAGAAGAAAGAAGGAAAGCTAGATTCTGCAGGTTTGTTTAGATGGCTATTCAGATGGAGATATAAGCTCATTTTCTAACCTACATATAAATTAATTGTTTCCTTTATGTTAATGCGGATTTTACAGTTACTGAGAATGGAGAGAATTGGAGTATGGGTCAGAGGCAACTTGTCTGCCTTGGCAGGGGGCTACTCAAGAAAAGCAAGGTTCTGGTGCTTGATGAAGCCACAGCATCGGTCGACACAGCTACCGACAATCTAATTCAGCAAACACTTCGACAACACTTTTCTGATTGCACGGTTATCACCATTGCTCATCGCATAACTTCCGTTCTTGACAGTGACATGGTTTTGCTTCTTAGTCACGGTTAGTACTCAACGGCCATATAACTTTATTCCACTTCTTAAGTTACCATTTTATTTTATAGTGTTCTGATCACTGTCTCTCGATTTTTCATGCAGGGCTTATTGAGGAATATGATTCTCCGACAAGATTGCTTGAGAACAAATCATCGTCTTTTGCACAGCTCGTGGCAGAGTACACCGTCAGATCAAATACAGATTTTTGAAAAATTTTCTAAAATAAGAACTGGTCTGTTGAGATAGTACCCTTGACGATGATGAAAATGAATAGTGTTGTGTTTTTGGTGTTGGATTAACAAACTCTGCAAGAGACAAGCGAAAATGCATTTCTATTTCAAAGCTTTATCAATGAATATTGTTTTTGTATAAACAATGTTACAGGGAATATCACATTTGGTAAGAATTTACCTTGTTTATCTGTTTGCAGTATTTGCTGGGTGATAGCTGTGACATCTTTTTAACATCTGCAGATGTAGAACCCTCTTGTTTTTGCTTTCTCATTTCCCAACTTGATTGAGGGGAAGGGGCAAAAACATGGGAAGAATAAAAGCAAAAGGTTAGCACATATCACAATATATGCAAATTAGTTTTTGGTTGCAATTGAGAGATAATTTGACTCAACAATATATACCTGTTATCTCCGTCACAACAAAAATCAGAAATTTGTCCAACTTGTAATTAGGTATAAGTTTAAGTTATAAATATTGAATATCCAAAATATAAAAGTAAAAATTGAGTACGGTACCCGTTAGAAACAAAGTACAATGGATCTTATTAAAAGGGAGAATAGCATTTTGAAAGGGATATATAAATATATATGGATGAGTTTTTAGTGACTACTTTCAATAGGTGATTAGTATCAATTATAGAAATTTAATGACGTGGCGTGTTAAAAATTTAGTATCATTAATTATTATTATTTTTCATTTTTTGAAAGTGTGGAAGATTCGAGAGTTAAAAAAAGTGAAAGAGCTGGGAAGCAAACCCTCTGAAAATGAATCCAACATATGTCTTCACAATGAGCAATTTTTAGGCCCCGTTCACTTCGCTGATTCGAGTTTAGAATTCGAGTTGAGATGTAATTTTATGTGAGAGTTTTTTACTGTAGTAAAAAAGTTAGATGTGATTCGAGTTTTATTTTTACCCTCTGAATTTTGGTCTTTTGATCATTTTACTACTTAACTTTAAAAATTGATCCGGGCACTCTTTAAATTTTGAAACGTTAGTCTCTTTGCCCCTTTTGTTTATTTGACTAATGAATTTGATGACATGACAATAATTTGAGAGATAATTTAATGAATAATTTGTATAAATGTCCCATGAAGTATATATCATATTTCAAAATGTCCATTGATCTATCAAAACACATCAAATTAAAATGTCCATAATCTATGGAAAACATAATAAAATAACAATTTTATTGACGTGGCATGTAATTAAAAATTAATTAGATATTAAATTCTAATTAAATCATTGAAAGTGATCATGGGACATTTTAAAATGTGATACATACTTCCCGAGCATTTACATAAAATATTTATTAAATTACCCCTCTAATAATTGCCACGTCATCAGTATGGGGGAACAATTTGTGCTTCTAAAGACGCTAAGAGAGAACAATTCGTTTTTCTTTTACTCGTCATTTTTTGAAGTTCATGTCGTTCTCTCATTTTTAATGTTCATTTGAGGTAGGGACAGATGCTTCTCAAAGCGCTATTCTACTGCAAATACAATGTCCCCGACAATTGATGAATTCCATGTGCATGGCTTTTACATCAGTTTGTCATATATATGTATATATATATATATATATATATATATATAACAACGGTCCTTCCCCAATATGGAGTTCGGAAACCAAAGGAAATCGTTGTATATACATATAAGTTAATTTCATGTTCCCCAAATACCAAGTTACACTTTTTTTTTTCCGTCTCTTTTGAGGGTATTTGGAATCTTCTCATAATTTAACAAGGATTTAATCATGGAAAATTGTAATGTAAAGGATTTTTTTCCTTTTGCCAATGATTTTTCACAGATGTTTGTTCAATTGAATATATGCTTTGTCTCCTAGCAATTCCACTTATTATTTTTTTCTTCCTCTGATTGAAAAAGATGGAAGTTCTCATCTTTGGTTTTTAAATAATTCATTGATATCTTAGATAAATTGGTTATCACGGTCGTATATCCTAATTTTCTTCCTATGTGCATCCTTTTCATGATTTGGTATCTTCTTTTATCAAAATAATAAATTGCTTGACTAGGAACAGTACGCCCATTTTCCTCTGTGCATTAATGAAAGTTTTGTATGACAAACTTTAGGAGTGAACACTCAAATTACCAATAAATTGAGAAGGAACAACTCTTTTGAAAAAGTCTTTTGATAGCGGTGGAAACCATTGAGAGGCCAAATTTTATTGTTTTCCATACACTATTAATCTGCCATAATAAGTCCTCTTAATCTACTTGTGGGTGACATTTCCATGCCCATCGTTCTTTAAACAAGGGACCTACAAAGACAACACATCTTCTAACTGATCAACTCATTACTTTTCATCGGAATCATATGGACCAAATTAATCAATAATGACTTAAGAAGGACCTACAAAGACAATGACTTCTAACCGATTGATTGATTACTTTTTATCGAAAATCATATGGACCAAATTAATAGTAGCGACTTAAGAAGGTGCCAAGGAAAGTGCAATTCATTATACAACCATCATAAAAAGTCTTGCGGTAAGATGACCACTGATGCTACAATATTTAAGAGTGACCAGAGAAGATAAGGTAAACTAAACTTACAATTAGCTCTGGAAAATGATATTACTTTGACTGAAAAGACTTCCAACATTTTTTTCCCTCACCACGTGATTCCTAAAAAGGGCAATTAGAGGTTTATACAATTGCTTCACTAATACATATTTATCCGTATAATTATTTAGGAAATTTCTATATTTTTTATTTCTCTTGAGAACACTTCTTGTTGCTCTCTTTTACACGGCACACCAGTAGACAAGTCACAAAAGATGATGCTTCAAAGTCTGTAACATCCGTGGTCATTTTCTATACTCCTAATCAACTTGGTTGTTGTCGGTTTTAAAAACCACATGGCGATATTGTGACGACCCTCCTATGAGGCCGCCACCGTAACTTAGTTTTTAACTTGTACTTACTGGCATTTCTTAAAATTTGCGGAACATTTTTTTTTTAAACATAAGAATGAATACTTTCATAATTCATAACAATAATTTCAAAAGAATAAATCACTGAATTTCTTAAAGCTTTTCTTAATTTCAATTAAGATAAAACCTTCTAGAAATATTTTTCAAATGGAGCTGTGTTTGAACTCTTGTTTCAAATACTCTTTAAAAGCCTTTCTAAAACTAGCCAATTCAATTGGGCCATTTAATTTGACTTTAAAACGGATTTCGTGAGAAATCTTAAATTCAAGTACATCTTAAAGTCCTTTTAAAATCAATCATTTAAATCGTAATGTTTAAAATTCGTTTATTTGTTGCATGCACTGTTGTAACGTTCTAAAACTTAAATACTCAAAACTAGGGTTGTTAGCTACAACCTTGGTTTTCTTAACATACATATGTACATATACTTTTTAAACATACATACTTGAAACCTTTGAATCATATAAACATATACATGACTTTTCTTAAACTTACTGCGGAAGATAACTGCGTGAGCGGTATCCATTTCCATCTCCACCATTCGTCCACCGCTCGCCATTGCCCTTCAAGAATTGCTTATAGGTTTCTTACCTACAGCATGAACATATCTGATTGAGCTTTCGCTCAGCAAGTAAGAACTATATCTCACAAAATAACTGTAAGTACACATGAATAAATATGCATGAGCTGATTATGCTTAATTATGACGTCTTATCATAGTCTTATTATCTTATCTTATCTTTCTTACTGATGGGCCCGAGTGCTCGCGTACCACTTGCGCGCAATCATCGGAACGTGAGGGTTTGCAAGGTCCCCCACGACACCGTGATTATAACTTGAATGCCTCCCTTGAGTC